TCACCAAAAAAAAAAGAAGGTCGAGAAGGGAGAGGGTTGACATGTCGTGGGGTTGTTAACCAATGTCATAGAACAATATGTTTACTACTGTTTAATGAGAAACTATTTGTTCTGTAAACCTTCACCTGAAGTACAACAACAACAAAAAAAAAAGATTAAAAAAATGAAAAGAAGGTTATGACAGTTGAGCAAGAGAATGGGAGATAAATGAGAAAGAATCAATAGTTTGTAGACCACTGTTGATAAGAATTGTTGGAGTCAGGGTATTAAAAGATCTGAAAGGATTGGAAAGCGTCTCAGGCCAGGTTCTCTAGAAGCAGAGCTTGAGATGGGCATTCTTATGCAAGTGATGTATTGAAGGAATAAGATAAGCAAGGTTGGGAGGAGGAAGAAGCTAAGCAAAGAGGTGCTGTCAGTAAGTCTAGCCTCAGCCTGATCCCAAGAGGAGCTCTGGAGCATGAATGACACCACAGAGCTTTCCTACCTGGTGGCAGGGCCAGGATTTTGTACTTCCGTGTCAGTCAGTCACTGGCTGGGGGTAGGGTGGTCAACTTCCTTGTTTGCCCAGGTCTGAGGGGTTTCCCAGGATGCAGGACTTTTCAGTGCTAAAACTGGGAGAGTCCTGGGTAAGTCAGAATGTTTAGTCTCCCTATGGAGGCCAGCCCCAGGAACGGGCACAGCCTTTCAGGCATTTCTGGGCAAAGCAGCTCCAATCTGCTGGGGGAGTTCTGTAGAGAAGTGGGCAGCTGTGAGTTGACAGCAACCAACATGCACAGCAGCTGGCATGGGTGCACCAGCCAAGTAAAGGGGATCCGGGCAAGGCATGCAATAGGACGCTTGGAATTAAGAATATGGAGGGGTTTTAGTTATCAATAATGACGGTCTAGGAGGTGACCATGCAAGTGATTGGCTGAAGTAGAGTCATCTGGAGAGACAGGATTAGTCCCTGAATAACCCTGGAGGCTTCCACTGGGTTGTCTGGCAAAGAACTAGTAGAGACTGACAGCTCTCCTTTCCTCAGTGGAATGGGGGTGGGGGGAATGAGCTTTGTACAGATTCAACCTCCTACTAGATGTTAGGGGCTATCTATGCCACTGCTAACGCTGGTAGGCAACTTTCCTGAAGAACTCACACTTGAGCTCAGACTCTGAGTTCTGGCTTATGACAGTGCTGTATGCCCAAGTCCTTAGCTTGAAGGACTAACAAGATTAGTAGAAGAAAGAACATCTAGGACAGGAGAGGCCTAGGGATTGGAAAAAAAGATTAAGAATGATAATGAAATCACAATGGATTATGAAGTAATGATGGAGAGAGTGACAATCAGGAACTAAAATCAGTATTTGGTGTTTACATTATTACGCCCAGGCAAGTATTATTCACAGTTAGACGTAGCAGTAGAGTGTGATTGTGTTTCCTTTTTTTATTCATTCCATTTTTAAACTGAGGTGTAATTCATACAATAAGATGCAGAGATGTTATTTACTTCCATGAATTTTGACAATTGTCTATACCTGTGTAACAAGATACGAGCTTTTCTACCACCCCAAAAAAGCTTTCTCATGCTCTTTTCCAATGAATTCCCTTACCTTCAGCAACTACTGTTATGACTTTTTTTCTCCACCTAAAGTTAGTTTTGCCTCTTTGTGAACTCTATATATGGTAACTGGAACTGTACAGCACTGTCATTTCGTAGTCTTCTATGCTTGGCCTCTTTTTTTAAATAACACTCTAATAATATTAATATTAGATGTAATTCACATACCATACAACCCATCCTTTTAAAGTGTATAATTCATTGAGTTTTTTTTGCATATTCACAGAATTGTGCAGTCACACCATCCAATTCCAGAGCATTTTCATCATCCCAAAAGGAAACATCATACTCATTAGCAGTCACTCCCCATTCCCTCTTCCTCTGACCCCTCGCAATCACTAGTCTACTTTCTGTCTCTATGGATTTGTCTATTCTGGATATTTCATATAAATGGAATCATACAACATGTGGCCTTTGTGTCTGGTTACTTTCACTTGTTTTCAAGGTTCATCCATGTACTTCATTCCTTTGTAAGGCCAAATAATATTCCACTGTACGGATATACATTTCATCCATTCATCAGTTTATGGACATTTGGGTTGATTCCACCTTTTGGCTATTATGAATAATCCTGCTATGAACATTCATATACAAGTTTTAGTGTGGACATATGTTTTCATTTCTCTTGGGTATATACGTTAAGAGTAGAAATGCTGGGTCATATGGTAGCTCTATGTTTAACTTCTTGAGGAACTGCCAGACTGTTTTCTAACGCAGATGCACCATTTACATCAGCAGTGTATGAGGGTTTCAATTTCTCCAAATCTTTGCCACCACTTGTTATTTTCTTCTTTTATACTATAGCCATTCTAGTGAGTGTGAAGTGGTATTTCACTGTGGTCTTGATTTGCATTTCTCTAACGACGAATGATTTTGAGCATCTTTTCATCTGTTTATTGGTCATTTGTACATCTTCTTTGGAGAAATAGCTATTCAAATCCTTTGCTATTTAAAAAAATTTTTTTTGGCTATTGTTGACTTAAAAGAATTCTTTATATATTCAAGATACTAGTCCCTTATCAGATATACAATTTTCAAATATTTTCTCTCATTCTGTAGGTTGTCTTTTCATTTTCTTGATGGTGTTCTTTGAAGCACAAAGCACTGCAATTTTGATGAAGTCCCATGTAGCTATTTTTCCTTTGGTCACCTGTGCTTTTAGTGTCAGATCTAAGAAACCACTGCCTAATCCAAGGTCACAAAGATTTATACCTATGTTTTCTTCAAAGAATTTTATAGTTTTAGCTCTTACATTTAGATCTATAATCCATTTGAGTTAGTTTTTGTATATGGTGTGGGTAGGGGGTCTGTCTGCCTTCTTTTTCGTAACATGCTTTTGAGGTTAATCTACATCATTGCGTGTATCAGTAGTTTTTTCTTATTTACTGCTGAGTGTTAGTCCACTGTATGAATTTACCACAATTTACTAATCCATTCTCCTGTTAATAGACATTTGGGTTGTTTCCAGTTTTGGCTATGAATAAGTGCAAATCTTTTTGAGTACATGTTTATATTTCTCTTAGGAAAATGCCTAGAAGCTCTTCATTCTTTACAATGGTTGTATAATATTTAATTGTGATTTGACAATGTCTGGAGACATTTTGGTTGTTACAACTAGGGAGGGGTGCTATCTAGTAGGTAACAGGGATGTTGTTGAATATCTTATAATGCACAGGACAACCCCCCTACCCCAACAAAGAATTATCTGGCCCAAAATGTCAATAGTGTTGAGGCTGAGAAACCTCATATAAACCACAATTGATTTAACCAATGAATTATTAAAGGACATTTAGATTTTTTTCCCTTGTCATAAATCATGCTATAATTTTATTTTGTTCTTTTTTGAGTATAGCCATAGGGTAAGTAACTAACAGCGTACACACCTTAAATTTTGGTACATTTTTCCAGATTGCCCTCCTCAAAGGCAGTTTAGTGTCTGGGAAAAGCCAGTTTTAAGGACAAGAGATTTTCAAATAACTCAAAGTAGACCAACAATATAGCCTAGTTAACAGCTACAGGGAAACCGCTTTAATGAATATATTGAAAGTGCAACTTGTAATTATATCACTATGTTGGTGCTTCTGAAGTCCTTGAAGATAGTTTTCTTATAAGTCTAAGCATCCTACCTATAATCTTGTGTACATTAAAATTGAATGATTAAATAAAGGCAACTTTCAGCTCAAATATGTCTAAATGATCATAAATTAAAAATTAGTTTTGTTGGTTTATACTATACATATTTTATTTACAAAACAGATTCTTTTTGTTAAAAACACAAATCCATACTTAAAAATCTTTGCTTAGAATATTATCAGTCTTAACTTCCACGATTTCCTATTATTTCAAAATTAAAAGATGAAGTCATCATTTATTATCGATTACCATCACTGCTATGAATAGATTTAGGAGGGGAGAGGTCCTATTATTAATTAACCTAAATATAAAGAAAAACATGAAATTGCTTTAAGTCTTTGTACATGAAGACTTAAATAAGCTAGGGCTTTAAGTTTACATAAATGAAAGCACTTGTGTTCCAGATAAAGAAAATAGCCTGAATTCAAGGTATGGAGGAAGATGGAGAAGAGGGAGGAAAAATAACCCTCTTGACCTGACCATTGAAGGAGGGTCATCAGAAACTTAAGGATTTGATGCTGTTCCCTAGCATCAGCAATGGGAATAGAGAGAATGGGCCAGTTTTATGCAACAGACATTTTGAAAGTGAATCACCTGGTCTTGGTGACCTACTGACTAAAGGAGAAATGAGGGAGAGACGAACTGAAGGAGGACTTCAAGATCTTAGCTTGAGCAGCTGGGTAAAAGGTGATACAATTAACGTCAGATCAGAATTAAAAGGAAGAATAAATTTAAGATGATTTCAGAATAACAAGTTGGAGATAGCCAGGATAAGTCAAACAATGAGTCCGGAGCTCAGAAGACAGGTCAAGGTGAGTCATGTTGTGTGAAGGCTTTGTCAAATATTTAGATTTTAAGCATCATTACTGTTGAAAGTGACAGTCTTAACAGCAGACAACGTATTTTCCCCTAAAGCATGTGTATTTTGAGAGGGCTGCATGGATATACTGAGAACATGGGGTATGCTTTAAAATCTTTTTAAAATGGAGAATATTAAAGAAATGTAATACATGTTCCCATCTAATCTGTAAATATTTTTTAGTCATATTTTTGGTGCAAAAATTCCTAAAATTAAGCCAGAAAAGGAATTTTGAGAATTATAAAGTTCATTCCCTACTCCACCCACCCTTCCTACCCCCCTACCCCCCACCCCCCATTTTTCTCAGGTGGTAGAATGACAGATGATTACTTCTTTCCTTTTTGCTTATCTGTACTTTGCAAATTTTCAAAATGGAGAACTAAGCTTCTTGGAAAAATATTGAAAACAACTTACGCTAGAACCATGTTGTAATCTGAGTGGTTGAACATATATCCTCCAACAACCCACATTATATTTCCATTGACCACAGCTTTGTGAGATGCTCTGGGGAGCTTTAGGTTAGAATATTCCTCCTGAGTCCAAAATGACTGGTTAGCTGGTACAGGAATTGAACATCCAGGACCTAATAACATATAATAAATAGGTTCACAAAATGCAGTTTTAAAATTATTGCTATTTCAAGTTTTACTCTTCTAAATATAACAAAAAATCTGAAGACTACTTTGTCTTTCCTTTAGCATCTAAACATCAAACAAATCCTTTTAATTTGGGCTTTCAATTTTGCTAAAGCCAGCTGACCAAGGTTAATCCCTAATAAAACTCAAAATCACATGCTTTCTAATGAGGAGCTGACCATATCTAGTTTAAGTTTTTTAGTAGGAAAGCACTTACTTAAGCAGCTCTCAAGGGAAAGACTGGACAAAAGAATTATTAATTCAGATTAAAAAAAAACTTCAGAGCTAAAAAGCAATGAATAGTCCTGGGAGTAATAAGATAAACTATCCATATCCTGGCAAGTCAAGGAACAAACAGATGCAAGAGACAAAATCCATTTTTGGGGAGGTGTGGTTTCTGCTGCAACATTTGCACAGTGGTAAGTACTGAAATACTTCAATTATTTCACTCCTCAGTGTGAGCCAAACACAGCAAACTATTAGGACGGACAATCAGACAGTGCCTAAGAATAAGTTGAGAAAAGCATTTAAACAAATGCACTTCCTTCCAAAATAAAGCGGTTTTGAGGAAGGGTACGTGTGTAAAGAAAATCACTAAATCAATAACAGCTGTCATTATTCACCACTTAAAGAATCCCTGAAGCTTCTTTAATAATCTATCTACACAGATAATCCATTAGCTGACTAAGTAGGATTCTAATGTATCCAAAACCAAACCAAACTCACTGCCACTGAGTCGATTCCAACTCATAGTCATCCTAGAGGACAAAGCAGAACTGCCCCATATGGTTTCCAAGGCTGTAATTTTTATGGAAGCAGACTGCTACATCATTGTCCCACAGAGCAGGTGACAGATTTAAACCACCAACCTTTTGGTTAGCAGCCGAACACTTTAACCACTGTGCCACCAGGGCTCCTGTTCTAATGTATAACTGACTGCAATTTTCTCTGAACTGAGAAAGTTTCTGAAGAAATACCATTATTGTTAGCTCTCATCCCACCCCCCAGCTTGGTTCTCTGCTAAGTCCTCTTACGAATGACACAGAGTTTTCCAATTCTCATGAATGAGTTGCAAAGAATGTTAAACCCCTCCACAAGTCTAACAAGCCCACAACCACAAATCTGTGAAACTGAAAGATTTATAAGAAGCTGAATAAAGGGATGTGAAAGCTTAAATGCTACCTGATAACTGATTAATATAAATAGTATATATGCTAAAAATAAAATCAATCCAGAATTTATTCAACTGGGAGCATTCTATAAATTGAAAGGAAAACAAAAATGGAAGACTCCTACCCTGCCACTCCGAGAGGCATGAGCATCCTCTGACATCACTTGAATTGCAGATGCCTCGATTAGGAAATCCACAGTTATGTGCACAGTGAGGAATATCACACACTTCACCTTTCCAGTTTTCAGAACATTCACACTGAACTGTGTTGCTGCTGTTGTTGATCTTACATTCTCCTCGGCCTGAGCAATTATTTGGACACATGTCAAAACTATAAAAACGGGGGAAAATTAAGTCAACACAAAGCAACACTTCAATTAATTCAGCACAAGGTCTCATCACTGTTCCTCCAGACCACTCACAACCACAATCGCAGCACTAATCATTCAGCCCAAATGAGGTCACTCAACGCTGCGCAGCCAGGGGCTCAGGTGCAAGTAATGAAATCAAATCAACCCTGCTGGATTCTTACAGTAAGAGGCAAGTTAAAGAAATTAGAAGATAAGGAGAAAAGACGTTTGTGCAAAACTATCCAGATTTAGCTTTTCAAGGGTGGGATGACTATACTAATCTGCTAAGCTCACAAACGATGAGCATTACAAAATTGCCCAACGTGTGCTTGCTGGTTTGGGAGGAAAAGATTAAAACAAACCACCAACAAGACATCACTGCCCTCATGGCACACATCCCTCTGTAGAGTCTCTTAACAATGTGTAGAATTTGTTTAAGATTACTGCCCACACTGGTGCATTTTAATTCCCTTAGTAAGTTCATCCACTCATTTCAGATGGGAGGGCCAGTTTAACTTAATGCAGCAGTTTAACTCTACTGTGTCTCATAATAATATGACTCAGGATAACTGTATTAATAACACCCTGAAATGACACAATTAACATTCTTTAAAGGGAGAATAACTGGACTGTCGGGATATTTTAAGAGTACAGATTTCTTCTAAGGCCTGGGGAAAAAAAAACTCCATAGAAATTTTGTATTAAAGCACGTCAGAAAATCAGGAATCAATTACAAAAACAAGCTAATTAATGTTAATGTCTACACCCAAATATCAGTTATGATATATTTATAATCATCAGATTATAATCAGATTATATGAAATTTGTATACAGTATTTTTATGATCTATAATTGTAATACAGTAAATCCATATGCCTACTTTGCAAGCCCCAGTAAGCAGAATTAAATGAAAAAGAATAATTCTTTGTTCCTAAAATAATGTTTAAAAAATTTTATTACTGTTAGTAAATTAAGTGTTAGCTAGAAAAGCTGAATTACACTACTGTAGGCCTCTACAGTTTCTATATAATAATACATGCACATAAGTGAAACTTCAATAAAGGCAAATTTCATCTTAAAAAAAGTCTTTTTAAGACAATAGTTTACAAAAGATAAAGTCTAAGTTATTTCATATTTGACTTGCTATACTGAAATGGCTACATCACACTTCATTTTTTTAAAGGCCTAAAAGAAAACTGAGGTGAAATATTTCCATTATGTTCTCAAAACCTATGCCTTGCACCAGTAATATCAAACTATCATTTCCTGCAGACACACTTATTAATCATATAAGGAAACGGCACACAACCAGAACTTATTGTTACTGAAAAACAAAGAGAAGGGACAGCATAACTTCACCTTCTCCTTAAACCTCAACTTCTCTATTCAAGTGCAATTACACATAATTTTTAACGCTTTTTAGAGCAATGAGTTGCAAAAAATCTCAAAACACAAAAACATTTTTTAAATCTCTAAAAAGTGAAAATGGCAGGTAAGAACATCTGCTTGCATTATCTATCTAATTTGGGTAATGAGAAAATTATTCTAATTTGGTGAAATGGGGTAATGAGAAAATTAGTCTAATTTTCTACACTTAAAACATGAATCAGAATGAGAAAGAAAGATGAAGTTTCAATTTGTATGAAAACAAAAATTTGTTTTTTCTTTCTTTAAAAGAAAACTAGGGAACACTTGAGGAGCTGGAATAAAAGCCTCAAGACACCTCCAGCAGAGTTCAGTCCAGAAACAGGCTTCTGCGCAACCTGAGGACACTTGGAAACAGAGTGATAATTTTAATGTACATGCTGCCTTCTGGGGATTTTTCTTGGAATAAATACCATTGTTTTATTTGACTTTTCAGAGGGTCTACTACCCTCAAAATGCCTTAGGATTGACTCCCATGTAGTGAACAGGGAACCCAAGAGTTAATAAAATTTAGGATACTCTCAACATTCCTTCATTTAATAAATACTAATTTTGGTCTTTAGGGGAGCTCAAGCCTTCCCTCTACACCATCTCCAAGAAAGAAAGGACTGATCAAGGTAAGAACATGCATTCCTGGGATAATCACATGCCAGAGAGCTTGAAGAAGAGCTTTCCAGCGATGGGGTAAAGGGCTGCCAAGGATAAGAGGTGTCTGAATTGCCCTCTCCTGGGGTGCTCCCTCCCTGGAGTTTCTCTTCTCCCCCAAGGCAGCTACAGTGAAGAGCCATGCAACAGTGAAGCCTGCTGCTCCAGTGTACCCTCCAGCCCCTGACCTGGGAACCTAGAGGGAACCCAGAATGGGGCCTGGATGAATGGGTTGACTAATGCTGCTTAGAATGTGGATCATAGACAGGCAGTAGCAACCTCAGTCAAGAGCTTATTAGAAATACAGATTCTGAGGCCCCAGTCTTGCTGAACGAGATTTTCTGGGGCTAGAGCCCCAAGTCTGTGTCTTAGCAAGCCCTCAGGAGATCCTCGTGCATTCTTAAGTTTGAGACGCCCTGGACTAGGCCTACATCTCCCATTTCTCCCTCCCATACAGAGTCATGCTTCACAGATTGTCCCACTCTTACTGCCAGGATTTCCTAAACTTCTAAATCCTACATTGTGACCCCACCAGGCCACTGACCTCCCAGAGCCTCCTCTGGTTGCTCAGCCTTATAGATGTCAACTCCCTCCTTCTCAAGACTTTCTGTCCTGGGCTTCTGTGACAACACAACCCGCTGGCACTCCCCTGCTTAGCACAAGCCTGGCACACAGTAAACCCTCAATATATGTTTGTCATTACTGCTGCTGAAACAAAGTATAATCTTTTGAATAAAATCATAAATATCAGACTTAAAATATCTTACTTGTAAGTGATATTAAATCCAGTCAAATTATAAGCAGCATCACTAAAAAAATGCAGGAGGGCATAACCTGATGTGGCAACAACCTCGGGGACAGTCTCATTGCCATCTCTCTCAGGAACGATGAGGCCACTGAAATGAAAACACATTTCTCGTAAAAGTGATAAGCACAATCACATACACATAACATTGTGGCAGGCACAAATTCCAAAACTGGACTTCATCCATACAATTTTAAAAACCACATTCTGGACGGAGGGCAATTCCTGTGATAAATAAATAGTGCTACCCTACTATCTGGAGTCCCTGGGTGGCACAAACGGTTAACATGCTTGGCTGCTAACCAAAAGGCTGGAGGTTCAAGTACACCCAGAGGCACCTTGGAAGAAAGTCCTGGTGATCTGCTCACAAAAAAATCAGCCAGTGAATACCCTGTGGAGCACAGTTCTACTCTGACACGCACGCAGTGGCCATTAGTTAGAATCAACCCGCTGGCAACTGGTAACTGGTACCCTGCTCTCTAGATCTGAATCTTTCATCAGGCTCTTCTTCATACTGGGTTGTATTTCTAATGATATCTGAAATCAATGGCCTTATTCTTTTTTTTATAAAACTTTTAATAATGTTCTTTTGAAAAACTGAGTAAAACAAACTTTATGAGTTGACAAATGCCAAATATATACTATTTAAAAAATATATTTTTAACTTCTAATGAAAAGTTAAAATAAAAATCAAGAAGCTAAACAGCCATAATCCCAACATTATTAGCATTCTTATGCATTTCCTTTGCCTAACTGATCTCATATTACATATACATTTTATATTCTATTTTATAATTAATATACCATAAGCATTTCCTGTGTCACTAAAATGTCCCTAGGCTTTCCCTAGGACTACACAGTAGATACTAAACAGGTATTTGTTCGGTGACTGGTGAGGGAAAGAATTACTGAGTCAAAGGGTCTAAATGGTGCTTTAGGGCCACAATACCACTGTGTTTTCTAGAAGAGATAATGCCGATGTGCAATCCCCATCAACAGAGAAAGGGTCCATCCTAATTCACTATGCCGATAATGAGGATTACCAGTCCTATTTTAGCTTCACTAATTGGCAAGAAAAAGTGATTTTTTTTTTTAACTGTGGCTTTATTTTGGGTTTCTACTCTGTCCGATGAGCCCTGGTGGTGCAATGGTTAAGTGCGTGGCTGCTAACTGACAGGTTGGCAGCTCAAGCCCACCCAGCAGCTCCAAAGGAGAAAAGACCTGGTGATCTGCTTCCATAAAGATTACAGGCAAGAAAACCCTATGGGGTAGTTCCACTCTGTCATATGTGGTAGCTATGAGTCAAAAATCAACTCGATGGCACCCAACAACAACATTATACTCCTGAGGTTGATCATTTTTACTATCTTACTTACATTTACATTTCCTCTTATGTTCATGACTTTTGCCCAATTATTGATTAGGTTTTAAATTCACTATTACCACCACCACCATCTCATTCAGTAAAAGTCTATTTTACCAGGCCCTATGCAATCTGCTCCACACATATGCACCCCCACCCAATGAACAAACATCTCATCTTCTACTACTCTCTTCCCTTCATTCACTTGACCCCAGCCATGCTGGCCTCCTTGCTTCCTGGAGCACACACCAGGTACATGCCCACCTCTAAGCCTATGCTTATCTTAAATGCTCATTTGCTTTGATCTAGTAATTCTATTTATTTTTTTTTTGTAGAAGACACACTTGCACCTATGTATACAAGAATCTTCACTGCAGCACTATTCAGAATGCCAACAGGTAGAAAGCTGCCTACATGCTCATCCACAGGGGTTGGTTAAATGAGTTATTACATATCTGTAGGTCTGCAGGACTAACATGGGGAGTTCATCAAGGCATTCTGATAAGGAAACAAAAAGTAAGCTGCAAAACAATGGGCCTATTACTTGTGTTTATTTACATGTATTTACTTAAGTGCATATAAAAATGATGAGCACATACCACTCCACAAGTAAAGAAGGAGGAAAGAAAAGGGAAGGGGATTTTCATCCAATGAGAGTTTTTAATATGAAACAGAACTCTAGAAACCCTAGGGCTCTGAAGATGCTCCAGGGGTTACAAAATAGTGAAGCATTTTCTATCATTTATTCACCTAACAAATATTTACTAAGTACCTCCTATGTGTGAGGCATTGTTCTAGGTACTAGGAATACAAGAGTGAAGAAGACAAAGTCTGTGCCCTCATGGAGTTCACATTAGCAAAACAACAAATGAATCCAGATACATACCCCTCTGCCAGGCAGAGACAAATGCTATGAAGGGTAACAGTAAAAGAACAGAAGGGTAGAAAGGGCAGTTAGGGAAGGCCTCTTAGGAGAGCTGAGGTTTGATCAGAGACCTAAATGAAGGTTTGAACCACCATTATGCTTTCATCAGTTCTATATACCAGCATCCCTTGAAATAGTGAAGGAGTCCCTGGGTAGTGCAAATGGTTAATGTGCTAGGCTATTAGCAGAAAAGCTGGAAATTTGAGTCTACCCAGAGATACTTAGAAGAAAAGCCTGGTGATCTACTTCCAACAAATCAGCCATTGAAAACCCTACGGAGCACGGTTCTACTCTGACACACATGGGATCCCCATGAGTTGGAGTCGACTGAAAGACAACTGGTCTTGGTTTTTGAAATACTGAAGGGGTAAATACTTGAAAGAGCAGGGCCACTTAGAACAGGTATGTCAAAAGTAACCTTCCCATAAGAAATACTGGCACAGGAAAGGTTTGGGGGCTTCAATCACATGTGGGAGACCCTGCACACTCTCCTATCCTAGCATGAGCTTCACGATCAAAGAGACAAGAGCTCTGATCCTGGTTCCATGTGCCTGGGCACGTCATTGACATCTCTGAGCCTCAATTTCCTCATCTGCACGATAAGAAAAATCCTATCTATCTCACAGCAATGTGATGAGGATCAAACTTGAAAACATGTAAACTGCAGTGCCTCACACTAGTAGGTGCTCAATAGGTGATGGCTAATGGGATTGTTTATATGGCATGGACACGTAATAGGATGAATGGCAGAACTGGCAGAGAGAGAAAGGATGGAGAGTCAGGAAGGGGTGGAAGAGTCATCTATACTCGAGTACCACAATCGGGAGAAAGGGGACCAGCTTCCCCACCATCAGAGAAGCTTAGGTGTTTACTTCTTCACTTCAAAGACTTGAAATTGTGATAGCTTTGCAGTGTGCTGCTTCTCCCAGTAGAATTTAGTATGAAAACAAAACAATTGGTTTATGACAAAAATAAACTTTTACAGAGTAAATGAACACAAATACAGTCTCAACCCAGGGTGCAAAGCAATGGAAAGTGTGTGTGAGGAAGAGATGCTGCAGACGTGCCACTGGCTGTCACCCTGAACTGCCCCCCACCTCCCTATCCCCTGTCCCCCAGGTAGATAAATAAATAAATGCAGTCGCAGCTTAGGCTGCTGCCAGTTGTTCAACTTGAACTGCCTGCCCTGGGGTTCTTCATAACCATATATTTTAAACACACAGTACCCCTGTTTAAAACCATTTCTGAAAATCACTGAACCAAGATAATCTCTTAATGAACCTGAAGTTCAACCTAACTGTCCCAGGTAGACATAGGCTCTCTTAGGGTGCAACCTGACTTTACCAACAACACTATATAAACTTACCAGTAATCCTCGATTTGGCATACTTTTCTCTTCGCAAGACTAATACCTACTCAAGGGCAGAGAATAAGCCAGATACGTAGAGTCAGAGGGTGGGACCTGGTAATGGGGCCAGGCAGGGTCTATACCTTCAACTGATGAAGGAGGGTCCAAGAACATAAAAGAAGTGCCTCCCTTTGACCACGTTCTCTAAGTGTGTCATGGTCTGACTACCATGGTTTCAACAGGGTGCTAAAGAGACTGACTGGCCCATGATATCACATGGCTTCCTCTAACAGCTCTTCTTCATGGTCTAAACGACTGTCCCATCAATGTATGACCTTCTTAAAAACTGCTGCCCCTGCTCCATCACCACTACCACCACCTCTGTATCTCCTTACCAAGAGACCTTCATAGAGTACCTGCTCCACGAAGGAGTTCCACATAGTCATTCATTGAACTCATCACAAAAACCATAATGTTGTAGAGCTAGGAGGGACTTAAGAGATTAACTAATCCAGTGGTTCTCAAACTTGATTAGTAATGGAACTATGTTTTTAAACAAATTTTATCAGAACTTCAACATATTAAACAGATAAATGTAATCAATCAGTCTGGAGTCAGATTAAACTTAATAGTTTACAATACAGCCAGAGAGAACATATGTTGAACTGACACACAACTTCCTCATTTTAGGTTTTAGAAGCTGAGGTCTAGAGCACTTAAATTACTCAAGCTCACACAGAGAACATGGGCAGAACCCAGATTAAAAGTCCACATCTTCTGAGTCTTCTTTGGGTCTTTTCTTTACTGTCACTGGTCCCTGGCTCTCTCTACTCTGGGCACCCAGTACATAACCTCCACTTGATACCTCTATCCAAAGCCCTCCTTCCTTATAGCCTGAGACAGTGGTTTTCAACTGTTCTGCATATCAGTGCTTTAGGGATTTTTTGTGTTTTAGGTAAATTTCTATTTTTAAATACCTATTCTCACATTTTAGGACTTTTCGAAAATGTAATTTTAGAAAATGTACACTTAAATATGTCATAAGTTAAATTTTAACATAATCAATACATTAATTTATACTATTAGTTAACCAACTTTTTAATAGGAATCCAAGAATTATTCTGTTATCTCTGCACATATACTTTGACTTCTCTCAAAAATCACTGATTAGAATAACTATAGCCTTCTGCTTATTTTCTGTTTTTGTTGTTGTTGATGTAGAATTCACACGTCCACTCATCAAATACACCACTACAGTGCAGGTGAATCACAGGGTTATATACACCTGTGTAGCCCATGTTCCCTTAAGGGCTACCAGTGAGCTGATTCAAAGTGCCTGGCACATAACACGGGCTCTATGAATATCTGATTAACGACCTCAGTACCAAGTGAACCCTCAACAAGTACTATATGCATAGTTTTTGTACTTTTGTTCAAGTTTTAGGTATCTGCAGCCATGGTGACTCAGTGGTAAAGAGCTTAGCTGCTAACCAAAAGGTCAGCAGTTCAACAGTTTGAATCCATGAGCTGCTCCCTGGAAACCCTATGGGGCAGTTCTACTGTGTCGTATAAGGTTGCTATGAGTTGGAATTGACTCAACAGCACTCAACAACAACATCTCTGTCGTATAAGGTTGCTATGAGTTGGAATTGACTCAACAGCAATGTTCTTTTTTTTTTTTTTTTAAATACATAGTTTTTGTACTGTGTTAAAGTTTTGGGTACTTCTTGCTATAATACAAGGTATACTTCAAATGCTGGCATAAAAATATACAAGCCCCAAACGCTTGACCAATGCCATTTTAAATGCCTAGCATGGACTATCCACCTACTCTTTGGTCCTGTATGTGAACCTTTGAGACCCAGAAAATGGCCTTCGTTCTCTGGTCAAAGATATATCAGAGAGATTTCTAAGCCAAAGAGAGTGAAGAGAAGACAAGCACACCTTAGTCCCTTGCTTGATCTCCTCTGTCCTTTGGCTCATAGTGTACTGTTTACTCTCAGTTACCTCCCTCATCCACATGGGATGTCAACCAGACTGGCCAACGTGAGGAACACAAAAACATTTGTTGAATTGATTTCTTTTTAAACTCAGGGAAATAAAACGTTTCAGGGAAAGAAATCTAGAAAGCCAGCTGCAGATGACAATCAACCTGACAACTACGGTTCCCTAAGGGAATGTGCATTTTAGAAAAAAAAAGTATTTTAAATAAGTTCTCTATCCTAGAGAAATAAGAGCAGTGACACGGATAGACATATGCATACCCATGTTCACTGCCACATTATTCACATTAGCAAAAAAATGGAAAAAACCTAAGTATCCATCAACGGATGAATGGATAAACAAAACGTGGTACATACACATAATGGAATACTACGCAACGATAAAGAATAATGATGAGTTTGCAAACCATCTTACAACTTGTATGAATCTGGAGGGCGTTATGTTCAGTAAAATAAGTCAATCACAAAAGGACAAATATTGTATGATACCACTTTTATAAAAAGTTAAGAATAGGCTTAAACACAGAGAGAAACATTCTTTGATGATTACTAGAGGTGGGAGGGGGAAGGAGGGAGAATCACCTACTAGATAGTAGACACGTGTTAATTCTGGTGAAGGGAAAGGCAATACACAATATGGGGGAAGTCAACACAACGTGATCAAGGTAAACAGACACTGAGAGGTACCCAAGAACAAAGGACAACCACAGTAAATGCTATAACATGCACAATTCTGCAACAACAGTAATAACAACCAAAAATTTGTGAGCAGTTACACAGGTAGATATGTATGCAACATGGGTGAAAAAGGGTATATGGGAGTACATGCATGCACTTATATAGGTTATTTGTTGTGAGCATTTGCATAAACATATTTGTATGTGCTGCATATATATTCATACATATAACAGAACAAATAGGGGCACCGTTATGGAAACTTCTTAGACATATCCAAACACCTCATGGGACTGAGTTCTTTGGCTTGAAGGTTAAGGACCATAATCTCAGGGAATATCTAGGACAACTGGCATAACATAGTTCATAAAATTAATGTTCTACATCCTAGTTTGGTGAGTAGCGTCTGAGGTCTTAAAAGCAACCATCTAAGATACAACTATTGGTCTCTTCCTGTCTGGAGTGAAGGAAACCAAAGACTCAAGGAAGCAATCAGTCCATAAGACTAATGGGCCACATGAACCACAGCCTCCTCTAGTCTGAGACTAGAAGAACTAGATGGTGCCCAGCTACCACTACTGGCCACTCTGACCAGGGACACAATAGAAGGTCCTGGTTAGAATGGGAGAAAAATGTAGAATAAAACTCAAACTCATAAAAAAGACCAGGCTTACTGGATGATAGAGATTAGAGGAACCTCCAAGACTATCATCGTAAGACATCCTTTTAACTTGGAACTGAAGCCACTCCCTGAGATGACCTTTCAGCCTATAAAATAAACAATAACACCTGTGAGGAATGTGTTCCTTAGAATAATCAACTGTATGAGACCAAATGGGCAACATTTCCCCAAAAGCAAAGATAAGAAGGCAAGGGGGGCAGGGAAACTGGAGGGATGGAAAAGGGGAAGGCAGGGTGGAAATGGGGAGAGTGCTGACACATTTTGGTGATAGCAACCAATGTCACAGAACAGTTTGTACATGAATTATTGAATGAGAAACTAGTTTGCTATGTAAACTTTCACCTAAAACACAATAAAATGTTCCAAAAAAAAAAGTTCTCTATCAAGTAAAAGAAATACGGAGACAGTTTTGAATTCCTGAATGGTCAAAAACATATAACAGAGCTACTTCTTGTTAATGAAAACTAAAATGCCAAAACCATTCAGAACACCCCAAACATTTGGTATTAAATTGCTTTGTTTTGTTTAATTACTAATATAGAATATATTTGTTGGAAAAAAAAAATCACCACAATACATAACTGTATGTTCCTCATTCTCTGCAAGTTACCTATTCTTCATTTTATGTGAATCCTTCCAAAAATTTTCCCTCAGCCATGTTAATGCATACATACAAATACATACACATACACACACACACAATATCTGAATTCAACAAGTAATTCCTGATGGCCTACAAATAAGGGATTCAACAAGAAACAGGATGGGTACGGTTCCTGATTAAAATTTTTCACAGAAACGCCGCATTTTTATGCAAACAATATGCGCCTTCTGTGTATGTTTGGCAACCGTGCCCTTCTCCCAGGAGGTGTTTTTGTAAGTGCACTATGCTATTTTTTTTTTTACAGCAGCATGTTTAAAAAAAAAAAAAGGCATACGGTGCTTATGAAAATACCTTGTTGGGGGAGGGCTCGGTTGGCAAACAAATATAGAAGGCGCACACTTGTGCATAAAAATATGGTAATATTATTCAATATATTACTCACAAAACATTGAAAAATGTAAACTTCACCACCACCACGAGGAGGTAAACTTGATACTATTATCACAATTTTACATGTCAGGAAACTGAAAAGAGAGGTCAAGTTCTGCGCCTTGAAACTTAATTAGTAGCTAGAGGCTAGAGGAAACAAAGACCAGCGTACAAGCGATCAGACTCCAGGCCTACTACTCCTTCCACGAAATAAATATGTTAACTGATAATAAAGATAAGACATTAAGAATGCAATCTAAAGAAATAAGTTCAAACTCAGAAATCAAATAATGATTAACTAGTATTTATATGACTGAGCTTACCTAAAGGCAGCAATTAATGGTGCATAAATCGAGTCCCCGTCATAAATGTATAAATGGTCCCAACTGCACTCTGTAGCAAAATGACTGAAACGAAGTCTCATTATTCTGTTTGGCCTGAAAAGAATGAAAAAGCAATTTATAACAAAAAATCATCATAACCATCAAACATTTGAGAAAAATATATGTATTTTAAGAATTCACAGGGACAGAAAAAATTGATCATATATAAACAGTATTCTTTCACTTGTTTATTTAGCACTTACTACTTGCAAGAGAAGGCATCTTGGTGGGGCAGTGTTTAAACGCTCGGCTGCTAACCAAAAGGTCAGTTGTTTGAACCTACCCAGCAGCTCCGCGGGAGAAAAGACCTGGCAATCTGCTCCTGTAAAGATTACAGCCTTGGAAACCCTATGGGGCACTTCTACTCTGTCCTATAGGGTCACTATGAGTTGGAATGGACTCAGCGGCAACAGGGCTGTGCAAGAGATCACTAAACAAACATGCAAATGGTAAACAAAATGAATATGGTCTGTCTTTTTTGGGCCTTAGAGTCTGTTCAGTGGCTCCCACAATGGCCATTCTTTAACTGCCTCTGGACCAATACATTAGCCCATCTATTTCTACACTTCCTTACTCAAATTAAGATTTCACACTTCAACATTTCAAAAACTGCAAATTCTCTAAACTCTCCTACCTTTCTGCCTTTTCACAGCACTGTCTGGCAAAAGCCCTGGCTAGAGGAAACCAAGTATCTGCTTTGACTTAGATAGCACCCAAAGACAACTAAGCAGTGCTGGACAAAGTCACACCACTGGGTAGACTGATTCTAGTACTATTCATTGCTCACCAACTTCAAATGGCACTTCAATTCTTTTAGTCAATCCTCCTCCATTTTTTACATTTTGTTTGTTCGTTTTTTTAAAGAAACTAGATCATTTATCCTGTAGAATTCCTCACCTTCTGAACTTGGCTGACTTCTGTGCATTCCAAGATTTTAAGTACCATCTGCTTACTCTTGAATTTAAATATCCAGCCCAGTCCTTACCGCTAAATTCCAGTCTCAGTTACATAACTGACTTCCAGGTATATCCCTTTGAATGTTCCTCCAGCATCACACAGGAATATGCCCTAAACTAAGACCTTAATTTTCCCTCCAAACTTGTTGTTTCTCCTGAATATGGCCCACATATCTGGCTCATGCCAGAAACCTGGGAGTCATCTTTGATTTCTTTTACTTACTCCAACATTGCAATCCATTGCTAAGTTCAGTCTATTCTATTTTCAATATATATCTTGAGCCTGTCCGTTTTTCTCTACCTTTACCACCACCACTAGTGTCCAAGTTAACATAATCTCTAGGCTGGCCTACTAAACAATCTACCATTATTCACATCTAATCCAGTCTCCGTACTGTAGCTAGAACAATGTAGGCAAAATGAAAATTTGATGTTATTCCCTACTTAAAACCATTTGGTGGCACCCCACTGCTCTGAGGACAAAAGTCTAAATTTCTACCACTGCCAGCAAGGCCTTCGTGGTTACTCTCTGCCCACTTCTCCAGCTTCATCATGTACCCCTCTCCCACGCTCCCATGTCTAACTTTCCTCACCTTCTTTTAGTTGTGAGGATGCTTACAGAACACTCTTCTAGCCATTCCTTGCCTGACTGGCTCCTTCTCTTCCTTCAAACCTCAGCTCAGTATCACTTCCTCAAAGATGACATCTGACTCTCAAACCAGGCCTCATGCCCCTACTATGCCACGTACCTAGTATTTGCCTTTCCAACTGGATGGTAAGCTACCTGATGCAAGGGACTAGGTCTGTTTTCGATCACCACTGTATCCCCAGCACACAACACAGCTAATGTTTGGCACAAGGTGGCATTCAATAATTAAAGACTTATTCTGCACGATGATTTTACTTAACTTTCCCCTATAACAGCTTTTAAAAAGTTACACCAGTTTTGGGATGACTCATTTTTTGTTGGTTTGTTTTGTTTTATTAATGCATAAAGATTTTTTTCACTCAAAACAAAATAAACATACCATATATATTTCAAGATTACAGTTTCAGGCAAAGACACACTCACCAATTTATTCAACATGATGGCTTCTAGTCAAAAAATACTTTATAGAACACATTTAACTTCCACATAGCATTCAGGTTAACCCAAACATTTTGCTTCGGGATAAAAAGGTAGGTAGCACCTTCTTCGACTTTTCAGTTGGCTGTACATGTGCAGTACTTGTTCTGAACACCTGCCTTTATTTTTACCTAAATGAATTTTTCTATGCTATAACTTTAACTCTAGTTTGAGTGCAAGATAGCTACTAGCCTCCGAAAGGTTAAAAGAATAATGAAAACATACAGACAGAAGAATGTATCTTCTAGAAAATGACTCCCTCGTGGCCCCCGCTACCATTTACCACCAAGTCTTTTCTTCCTCCTTTTGTGAGTAAAATAAGCGTTCTTTATATTTTATGTGCAAACTGTGTTTAGTTTCAAATGGTTGCTGTTGCTGTTTTTTAATGTGCTTTCATTGTTTAACTGATATATTTTTCTATCTGTGAAAATTGGGCATCTTGGGTTGAGACAGAACACATAATTTTTGCCATTAAAATTAATGAAAATGTTTTTTCATTTAACAGTTTTTCTTTAGCAGCAAGGTTTTCAGGAAGAAATTAAAAACATTAAGTAAAGGACAGGTGTACTGATTCAATTGAACGAATAAATAAGTACTATTTAGGCAACAGTAGTACTTCACCTTTCATTTTTACTTCTCCCCACAGCAAATACAGTAGATTAAAAACAATCTATAACTAAAGCAAACAAAAAAACCTATGCCGCATCTCATCAGAAAATACCTAATGAATCTACCATTAAAAGCTCCAATCATGAACACAATAGCAAAAATTCAAACCTTTAATTCTGAAAGTGGCTTGCTGGATTTTACTGTTATAAATAAGCATCAGTTAACACATTCTAGGTTCTGTAGATACAATGGTCAATGAGACCTACAAACAACATCTCTGCTGCCCTCATAGCACTCAGAGTTTATGGAGGGCTTTCAACACCATTTATATCCTGCTGATGCTTAAATATATTTCTCTAGACTAGACATCTCCTCTATACCACACTTACTTGTCTAACTAACATCTCTAAGTAAACAACTAAGTAAATAAATAAACAAGTTAACTTGATGGTGATGAGTACTGCGAAGAAATTACAGAAATATGACATGGTACTTCAACAGGTGACAGGGAGTTACTCCAGAATGCTCTGGAGGAGATTAGAATGATGACAGGCAAGCCAAGCGAAAAGCCTGGGGAACAATGTTCTAGGCAGAAGGAATAGTGTGGCAAGGTCCTAAGGGGAAAAGAAGTTGATGTGTCCAACCAACATGATGAAAGAAGCAACATGAAGAAAATCAGCATGTCTGAAATAGAGCAAACAGAGGAAATACTATGAAATAAGAAGTGAGAGGTGGAAAAGAGGCAAAAGAAAAAATCCAAGGCTATCAGAGAGGCCCAGGCTAGAGAGGATGGTGGCTCTTATAACAATAGAGATAGAGATGAAAGAGAGCCTGTAAATGGATTTGGGAGATATCCTGAAGGGAAAACTGACAGAATTTACTGACAGTTAAGAGAAAAGGAGATTAAGGTTTTTTGTTTTTTGCTTAGTGACTGAGGACAGGCAACCATTGAGAGCACATTCAGAGCAACAGTGGAGAAGGACATCAGATGGGAATGACATGATGGAAAGGGCAAGGGCAGAAAACTCCTTTAGAGCAGCAGTTCTCAAAGGGTGATCCGCAGACTACTAGGGGCCCTGAGATCCTTTTAGGAGGTTCAAGAGGTCAAAACTATTTTCACAATTATACTAAGATATCACATGCCTTTTTCACTATGTTGACATTTACTAATGGTGCAAGAACAACGGTAAGTGAAACTGCTGGCGCCATAGAACAAATCAAGGCAGTAGCAACAAGCTGTACTAGTGATCACTGCATTCTTCACCATCATACATTTGTAGAAAAAAAGAAAAAAAAAGCCAGTTTCACTGAAGGATATCTTTGATTAAACAGTAAAAAAAAAACTATAAATCTTGACCCATGAGTACACATCTTTTTAATATTTTGTGTGAGAAGATGGGAAATATGCATAAAGCACTTCTGCTGCCTAACAAAAGCATAGTGGCTATCTCAAGGAAAATCACTTTTCCAACTGTTTGAGTTGTGAGCTGAACTAGTCACTTTTCTCTTGGAATACCATTTTTACTTGAAAGAACAACTGACAAACTATGGTTATTCAAGACTTGGATATTTAGCAGACATTTTCTAGAAAATGAACAAAACAAGCCTGTCACTTCAGAAAAAACTGACAATATTTGTTGTCAGTGATGAAATACAAGACTTCAAAAGATAATTAGAAATTTGGAAAATTTGTATCTGCCACCCAGATACAACTTCCCAATACTTAGAACTTTCTGATGAGATTGGTGGTAATATTAATAAACAATATGATTTTTTACATAATATAATAAAATTTATCAACATCTGGAAAATCTGCATAATTCAGTGAACCAATATTCCCCAAGTGACCCCATGCATTGTGTTATAAAATCATGCAAGGGTAAAAGATCTACATGCAAGAAAACCTATGAATTTTAATATAACAGAGTTCAAAAAGTTCACTGATACTCGGAGTCCACACTGCAATTTACTCTTAAGAAATTATTACTTGTCAAGTTTTGGTGTAGCATCAAAGAAGACTACCCACATTTATTTAAATAGACTATTAAAATCTCCTCCCTTTTCCTACTACATATTTAAGTGAGGCCTACTATTTTTCCCCTACTTCAACCACAATATATCACAACAAAGTGAATGCAGAAGATATGATAATCCAGTCCAGCTATCTTGAAGAGATTTGCAAAAATGTAAAACAATGCTAATTCTTCTCACTAAATTTTTTAAAAAAACTTTTTTTCCATAAAAATGTCATTTGTACTAATGCAGTAGGTTTATTATTGTTGCTTTTATATGAACTAATAATATTTCTTGGTTTTAATTTCTCATAAGGTAAACACAGATAGACAACTCACAAAAACAAAAATTACTTTGGTTCCTCAAAGTTTAAGAGTATAAAGAGGTTCTAAGAACAAAAAGTTTGACAAATACTGCTTTAAAGGTTTTCTACAAAAGGAAGGAGAAAAAGAAGGCAATAGCTGGAGGAGGAACAAGGGTCCAGAGAAAATGTTGCTTCGGTAATACAGAATTACTCTGATTTTCTTGCCCACAATAAAAACACATACTTAGAAAAATGACGGAATATTGTCATTTGCTAATGCTTTCAGTAAAACATTAAAAATACTCAGTAGTATATACACAAATCATGGCCTCATCTAACCTGAGACCAGAAGAACTAGATGGTGCCCGGCTACCATGACCAATCTTCTAATCAGGGCAACAATAGATGGACCATGATAAAATGGGAGAAAAATGTGGAACAGAACCTCAAATTTCTTAAAAACAAAACAAAACAAAAAAAAACAGACCTAGACTAGTTGAGACTGTAGGACTCCTTGAGACTATTGCCCAGAGATACTCTTCAAACCTTGAACTGAAACTAACCCCTGAGGGTCACCTTGTAGCTAAATAACTGGCTCAAGAAATAATGAATATCACCCATAAATACTGTGCTCCTTTAAAAAATTAGCTATATGAGACCAAAAGGTCAACAATTACTTTAAAACAAAGATGAGAATGTAAGGGGGCAGGGAAACTAGATTAATGGAAATGGAACAACCAGAATGGAAATGAGAATGTTTACACATTGTGAGGAATGTAACCAACGTCACTGAACAACTTGTATAGAAATTACTGAATGAGAACCTAAACTGCTGTGTAAACCTTCACCGAAAGCACAATATTATTTTTAAAAAATACTCAACAGATTTTTAACTAGAACAGTTGAAAATATACAAATTTCACAAGTATTCATTTGTGACACTAAATCAACACTTGAAATTTCTTTTTAATTAACAATAAAGATCAAGGAAATAAGAAAGCCAAATTCGTCAAATGAAAAGTTATAAAATAAAAAAAAGTTTTAAGTACTTTATGCTATTGATGGTTAATCTCACTTCTAGGAAAAGTAATGTCCTACTGAGCTCCGTCCTAAAGAAAAATGAAGCCATTACTACTTACTGTCCTTCAATGAGCCACGTGCACTTTGTTTTATATTTATAATTTCCAGGTCCATCTGTTACAAACCCTGAAGATCCAGTTAGTCTGTAATTTAAATAAAAATAAAAACTTCAGTCCATCAGAAGTTATATATTAATAATAGCTTTCTTAATCCTCCATACAATCCCAAATTAAGTACAGCGGGTACATGAAAGCGTATTATAACCAGAAAATGACTAGACAGTTATATTCAAATCGCACAAATTTGAACAAAACAAATCCTTGCCACATATTTAAAATAGGAGGATACAAAAATGTTAAAAACCAACAGGAGTAAACAAAAACATTATACTGCAATCTTTCTAACTAAGACTGAAAGGTCATACTTTGTATCATGAAAATGGCCACAAGAACTTATTTATAAATATGAATTGGTTTTTAAAATTAAGATCACACAGTTACCGCTACAAGTAAACCCACTGTGTCAAACTGACTCTGACTCATAGTGACCTTATAGGACAGAGTAGAACTGCCCCACAGGGTTTCCAAGGCTGTAATCTTTACGGAAGCAGACTGCCACATCTTTCTCCCCAGTTACAAGTACAGTGCATTTAATACATACCACTACAGATAGTACAACTGAGGCAGGCAGGCACATCAAGACAAAACAGACAACAGACCCCCTGTAGTCATTTAGCTGCTGACCTGAAGTGGCCACTTACCATGTTCTCATAGTACCACAGCACCTGTCTTCCCACACTCATGCAAGCCTAAAGTTTAGCAATATTTTTAGATCTTGCCAATATAATGGGTGCAGTGCAATGGGTTTCTCTTACATCTGACCTTTCTGTCCTTGGGTTATAATTCTACCAAAAAAAAACGGTTGGGACACAGCCTGCCCTGTGATTGGTCTATTTTATGCACCTTGCAGGGACTGGTCAGTTTACTATACAAACAGCGTGCATAAAACCACTCAATAGGATTAAGTGATCTTGGGGGGATTGGTTGGTTTGTGGTCCGGCTGGGAGGGCCATGCCTTGAAATTGATAAGGAGCTCGCTTATTTATATAAGCAGTCAATCCAACAGAGGTTTTTAAAGAGAGAGGGAACCTCCTAAAAGAACTATAATACAGGTTAAGACCTGTAACACTGAAGACTGCATGAAACGGCACGAGACGGTGGCAGCAGTACCAGTGGAGGGAACCACCAGACCAGCAGACAGCTTCAGTGGGGATTGCCCACCCACAAAAAGAGAGAGAGCTGAGTGTCTTCAGGCAGGATGCTTGCTGGCAGAGTGGGGTGCCTCTAAGCACTTGTTGTCAGAGCCAAAAGAGCTGTTAATATTTGCCTGAGCAGGGCAGAGGCAAGACCCAGAGAGGCCCAGCGGCAGAGGCAGGGCCCAGAGAGGCCCACTGGCAAAGGCAAGGCCAAGAGAGACCCAGCGAGGCCCAGCGGCGAACAGAAGAGCTGTGGGCTGGCATGGCCTAGAGAAGGAGCTAAGAGCTGTCCTGGTTGGAAGCTGCCCTAATTGACAAAGTGTATCCTGTCTCCTGAGTTGTATCCTGTTACTTCCAAGCTGATCCTGATTCCCAGTTGTAGCCTGTTAATTCCCTAATAAACCACAAAACTGTAAGTATGGTCTGTGAGTTCTGTGTGGCCAGTGCAATGAATTATCAAACCCAGCAGAGAAGTAGAGAGTGCCATGGGAGGACGGTTGCTGTCAGAAATGGTGAAAAAAGCTGGAAAGTGAAGGTATGTCTGACCTCCTACCTCTTAAGAACCAGCTTTCTGCTGATCCTGACTCTCATTCCTCCTCCTGAATTTAGACAAGTTCAGACAGTAGATTACAATGGACATACACTGGTATCTCACTAATATTCTGATTGGTACTAATCATGATGTTTGAATCTCTTTTCATATGTTTTGCTCACTTGCATTTCCTCCTTTGTGAACTGAGAATTCATATTCTTTGTCCATTTTGCTACCAAGTTATCTTTTTCAAATTAATGTTCAGGGTAGGAGATTTTCTTATATTAAAGATATTTCCCATTTGCATGTTAAATGTACTATAAATGTATTTTCTGTTTACCTTTTTCTGTGTACTTTGTGTCTAGTATCTTTGATACATAGAATTTTTTAATTTTTAGGAAGGATGCTGTTTCCTTCCTCATTGCTGTTTCCAGATCATTTTTCCTCTCTTGCATCAACAATGTCAGCCTCCCTGAAGCAGATCTGCCTGCCTTACTTACTAAGTCATCTACTCACATCCCAGTTACTCCTCATGCACTGAAGATACCAGCACCTAGTTCAGTGTCTTCCATTCATCTGCATCAACACTGAAGACACTGCAAGAAAACTCAGCCCCTCAGCTTCTTAATCTTACCACTAATAATCTTTTCTTCCATTCTACTTTAGCCACCCACTCCTTACCCATTAACCGTAACAGCACAATCACCAAAACCTCCATTTGAGCATCCTACCCTCTGACCACCATCTCTTATCTCTCTAGTTGATTTGCCTAGTTCCCCCTGTCCAATGTGTCTTCAGCCCATGGGACCTTCAATTCACTAAACCATCACTTTTTCACTGTTCATCACTCACCACCAACACATTTCACTTTCCCACTTACCTAGTTAAGATTTCATGGTCCAGAAGGAAACCCAAGACTCAGAGAAGAAACTAGGCTACAGGACTAACTGTCCACACAAACCATGGCCTCATCTACCCTAAGACCAGAAGTTCTAGATGGTGCCCACCTACCAATTCTGATCGTTCTGATCAGGGTCACAATAGATGGATCCTGATAGAATGGGAGAAAAAGTGTAACAGAACCTCAGATTCTTAAAAAATCCAGATTATTGGACCATTTGAGACCAGAGGACTCCCCAAGACTATTGCCCTGAGATATTCTTTAAGCCCTGAACCAAAACTATCCCCTGAGGTTACCTTTTAGCTAAATAACAGACTGGCTCCACAAAATAAAGAATATCACCTGTGAGTACTGCACTCCCTAAAAAAAATCATCTATATGAGACCAAGCGGTCAACAATTACTTAAAAAAAAAAAAAAGGATGAGAAGGGGGCAGGAAAACTAGATTACTGAAAACTGAACATCCAGAATGAAAACAATGAGAATGTTCACACATTGTGAAGAATGTAAGAAATGTCACTGAACAATCTGTGTAAAAATTGTTTAATGGGAACCTAATATCCAGTCCCCAGAAAAGGACATTATGCTTGGTAAAGTAGAGGGTCAGCAAAAAAGAGGAAGACCCTCAACAAGATGGACTGATACAGTGGCTACAACAATGGGCTCAAACAGAGCAACAATTGTGAGGACAACACATGACCAGGCAGTGTTTTGTTCTGTTGTACACAGGGTCACTATGAGTCAGAACAAACTCAATGGCACCTAACAACAACAACCAATCTGCTGTGTAAACTTTCACCGAAAACACAATAAAACATTATCTAAGGGCATATATGCTGAACCAACTGCCAACATTATTCTCAACGGAGAAAGACTGAGAGCTTTCCCCTTGAGAACAGGAATGAGACAAGGATGCCCATTATCACCACTCGTATTCAATATTGTACTGGAAGTCCTAGCCAGAGCAATAAGGCAAGAAAAGGGAAGTAAAGGGTATACAAATTAAAAAGGAAGAAGTAAAACTACCTTTATTGTAGATGACATGACCCTATACATAGAAAATCCTGGAGATTTCACAAGAAAGCTACTAGATCTAATAGAAGAATTCAGCAAAGTCACAGGGCAAAAGATCAACATACAAAAATAAGTTGAGTTCCTTTACACTAACAAGGAGAACTCCAAAAAGGAAATCAAGAAAATAATACCATTTGCAATTGCCCCCAAAATGATAAAATACCTAGGAATAAACCTAACCAGCGATGTAAAAGACCTATACAAGGAAAACTATAAAACACTACTATAAGAAATTCAAAGAAACCTACATAAATGGAAGATCACTTCATGCTCATGGATTGGAAGATTTAATGCTGTGAAAATGTCAATACTACCCAAAGCAATCTATAGCTATAACTGAACCCTGATCCAAATCTCAACAACATCCTTCACTGAAATGGAAAAATTAATGACCAACTTTATATGGAAAGAGGCCCCAGAATAGCCAAAGTGATACTGAAGAACGAAGTAGGAGGCCTCATGGTTCCTGATCTCAAAATGTACTATACAGCCACAGTAATCAAAAGAAGTTGGTACTGGTACAGTGACAGACACACAGACCAATGGAACAGAATTGAGAACCCAGAAGTAAATCCATCCATCTATGGGTAGCTGATTTTCAACAAGGGGTCAAAGTCCATTCAATGGGGAAGAAACAGGCTCTTTTAACAAATGATGCTGGCAAAAATGAATATCTATTTGCAGAAAAATGAAACAGAATCCATGCCTGACACCATACATAAAAATTAACTCAAAATGGATCAAAGACCTAATTGTTAAAGCTAGAACTATAAAGTTTCTGGAAGATAACATAGGGATAAAACTGTGGGACCTAATTTAGACTATCAAACACAACTAAAAATGCATGAAAAACAGACGACAAATTGGGTAACTGGGATCTCATAAAAATTAAATACGCTCATCAAGAGTAAAAAGAAAACCTATAGAATGGGGAAAAATCTTTGGGAACAACGTATCTGATAAGGGTCTAATCTACAAAATAAATAAAAAACTTCAACAACAAAAAGACAAATAATCCAATCAAAAAATAGGCAAAGGACATGAACAGACACTTCACCAAAGAGGACACTCAGGTGGCTGACAAACACATGAAAAGATGCTTGCAATCATTAGCTATCAGAGAGATGCAAATCAAAACTACAATGAGATACCATCTCACTCCCGCAAAAACGGCACTCATCAAAGAAAAAGAAAAACAGAAAACAATAAAAGCTGGCTAGGTTGTGGGGAGACTGGAACTCTAATACACTAATGGCAGAACTGTAAAATGGTACAAGCACTATAGAAAATGGTATGACATTTCCTCAAAAAACTAGAAATAGAAATACCTATGATCCACCAATCCCACTCCTAGGTATATACCCTAAAGATCTAATAGCAG